CCCCCCCCCCCCCCCCCTCCCCCCCTCCATATACATACATACTCTATCCATGTCATCACCGGTGGCGTGAGGGGGCTAATCTTCGCATGGAGAGAGGTCGGAGGGAACAAAAAACGGTGAACAAAAAACTCCACGGTGGTGGGGGGTTTACTGCGGGCGATATTTGTAGCGCAAGACTGCCACCGTTCTGCTGGTTGTGTTCAACATTAAGTCGTTGCCCAAGCCCATGCGAGCTACTCCTTGCTTCCGTCCATTCTTACGCTCACACTGTACGACGCTTACACAGAAAGAAGAGCAGCATCTAGGAGAGGTGACTTCCTTTTTACCAACAATGGCGTTGCCCCCGCATTCCAGTTAAGAACCGTTCGCTCCGCCGAAAGACGTCCCGGTTACATACGCCCATGCCCTGGTGCGCAGTGCCTGGTGCTGGTACGTTACGTTACCCTTTCATTTTTTCTTTCGGCGGGTGTGGGAAGCGTCCTCCTTTATTTTTATTTTTTTTGTTATTTTTGTTTTGTTTTATTTTGATCGGTGTCCGAGGGCTCTTTTCTCGAACAGTAGGTGCGATACCTGTTCTTTTCTTTCTTTCGATCATTTTGTTTTCTTTTTCCGAGTGGTTTGTATCCTATTTTTGTTTTTTGTTTTCTCGCGGCGTCGTATGTGCCGGGTTTTGAGACCACGGGCTCCCCATTTTTTGTGGACTATAGAGCTAATGTGAGAAAGAACAACAAACAACAACAACAACAAGGGGTTAGGTTTGACCTTTGAGCTGAAGTACGTTTTTAGACTACTGCTGTGCTGGAGTTGTTTTCACAACAACGAGGGGTGGTGGGCATGTGCACCGGTAAGCCGATACCTCAGACAAAAACGGACGGTGCTTTTTCGGAGTATACATCAATCTTCTGTGTGGGTCATCCATGGAATAGCAGCGCCCAACACGTTGTACTACACAGCAGTAGAACCACACGCAGCCATAAATAAACAGTAGGTAGACCTCCCCCCCGCCCTCCCCCGACCAACATGACGGCCAGCCTTGGGGGCGTCTGTCCATCGTTTCCACTGGGATGGCCCCAGGATGATGAGTTAATTAGTCTAAGGCGCTTGCTAGTATCGGGGGCGAGGGACACGAGGGACACGAGGGACACGAGGGACACGAGGGACACGAGGGACTCGGGGGAAAAATAGGTGCCATCACTTCCGTCCTAGGGTTCGATCGGGTGGCATGATGAAGTCGCGGGGGTCTACGAACGTGCAAAAGCTCCAGATGTATGAGCGGACAACCAGGATCGTGTCGCAACTTTCTGGAGGCAATAATATACACAGATTCTTCTGAATAAAATCCGTCTGTTTCCGTCCATCGACCAGGGTGTACTGCTGTGCTGCTCTAGGAGAGATAGCAATTATTAATGAATTTCACAGAGAAGGGGGCCCTACATTTGTTTCTACGATTCCCCAAGCGGCATACAGCGATATCTCCCCCGCTTACAAAGTCCAGGTAAACCGCACCAGGTATAAAAAATATGTGGTACACTTGTGACCTCTAGAAGTACATAACAACAAGGATGGTTGATCCGGCCTAGCAGGTTTTCTCCCGAAGGATCCACCGAATGGTGCCGCGATTACGCGATTGCCGTGGGAACGCGTGTGTTGTGGTGGTGCTACTGCAATCAACACGGCGGGCTGCAAGCCCGAAGAAAAAATGGGTCCAAGGTCGAACTCGGCCTCCCAACCTCCCCCCCCCCAGGTTGTGGTTCGTGCCCAACCGGCCCCTCTGGCCACCAGTCGCTGAGTGTACAAAGCCGCGGGCCAAAAGAAGGTAAAAAGCTGCATGCGTGCTGTATCTACACGCGACACACACACACGCAAAGAAGATTTAGAGAAATTCTTATTCAATTCCAACATTTTCTTTTTTTTTTATTTTATCGTTGTTTTTCCAATTGGGTAGGCAGCTATCATACGATGGGATGCACGGACCATGAATTGAAAGTCTTTGCAATGAGTGGGGGCGAAAACCTGCTGGGTGCTGGACTTGTTGCGTCTTAAGTTGGGTCTGTTTGCGTCTTACATGCATGCGCTGTAGGCTGAAAGCAATATCAACATGCCAGCCGCTGACTTTTTCGAGGAGAAGCGAACAAGGTTGTATGCAGCAGGTGCAGAAGTAATAAAATATGCATGATGTGTGCGTGCCAGGTTGCATTGCATTATCTAGACTTTATGCTCCAGTGTTGTCCAGACTTCGAAGAGAAGTCCTCGGTTGTCGGCGCAAGTGGGAGTTAGTTGAGCAAGCAAGCAGGCCATTCGTCAACGCGAGGCAGCAGCATTCACCGTCGATTGATGGTGCAACGGACCTCCGCCCAACGGATATTGTAAAGGGCGGACACGACCAAATCTCGAAAAAAATCTGTCCGCCTGACCGACCCATGTTCTTCGTTCTGCTTCGATTTTGCCTTGACACCAACCACTCATTGCAGAGGTATAACAACTGATGGGGCGCTTGCCGCCCTCCAAATCGATCTGGAGGATTGGATATCTGCTTCCGACTCGGCACAGCACACATCCACACGTCAAGGGTCCAACCGGGGCCGAATTACGGTTGAACGCATGCTCATCAATCAGCAAAGTTCGCTTGGCTTGGTTTCGCTCCGCGTTTTTTGTTTTCGTGAGCGACACCAGCCCGCCAGGTTCAAGAATCACACATAGTCTACACATCCATCCCCCGTGTCTCTCTCTCTCACCTGCGTTCGTGTCGTCACAAACTGTTGCCGGCGTCCGCTGTTCACCGTCTGCTTGCAAGAAAGGGAGAGCTCTGGCCGGTTTTTTCTGATCTTCCTGTTGGCCACAGGCGGCAGGACGGTTCGGTTTGGCTTGAGGTTGCCACATGAAACCGCCAGCCAGCATCGGCCAACAGGTCGACAGCAGCAGCATTTTCGAAAAAATATCTCATCATCCCCGGACCCCCCTGACCCCGTAATATTCCGTCGCTCTATGAAACCCCCGAATGCGTGTGCCACACTCTACTCTTTCCTGTTTCTTGACAACTTGAAACTAGCGCGGCTTTTAACGCGCGGAGCAGCGAGGGAGAGAGAAAGAGAGTGGGGGCACAACTACACGAAACCTTAAGCCTCCCTTTGGTATCAGTGTTATGAGGAGACATTCCCCTAAACGGCGGCAATACGGCGGTGCAAATGGGAATGGGGGTGACTTTCCAACAGCAGCAGCCGCATCATCATCATCGGGGCTCGGAAGGTCTCGTTCAGCTCCTTCGGAGACAGGTAGGTTCTTCGTCTTGTTTGACATGGCTCAGTTTGCTGACCTGCGTTGCTGGCCGCGTATGAACCGCGCGACTGGCGCTCTGCCGAGGTAGTCTCAGGACTCGGAACTCGAACGAGCTCGCCCAACACGTTTCGCCGGCTCCCCTTACGCGACTTCAAAAGTCTGGTAAATATCCTTCTGTTTCGGCTACACAGCGCTACAGCAGCACACGGTGGTACTGCTGCTTGCTGCCAGTGGTTTCTCTTCCACGTGCTCTCGCGTTGCAGCTTCTCTCTGCTGCTGACGGGAACATGCACGCTTCGATTTCGTCCAGCTGTTGACCTCTGAGGTCGAGGTAGGACAAGGTCGTGTGCGTTTCGGTGCACTGCTGTCACCCATGTATCAAGCTTGTGTTGTTGTTAGACTATGCGACAACGACCCGACATGTCCCGTTGTTTTTTACGGTGTGCAAAACATTCCGCGCCGACATTCTTTTCACACGTGGATACTTCTTTTTGGTCATGAATCCGAAAAGGCAAGAGCGCCTGCTGTAGGTTTTGTGGACCCAACACACAATGGGTGAACTCAGGTGGGCATCTACGCCGTATCGAACTCAGTAATGTAGACGTACTACTGCCGTACCGAGGGCATTGTATTGGTTCTTTTTAAACACGTGCGTGATAAGGCGCGAACATTAGTCCGCCGAGCATTCTCGGCAAGTCGGCATGTTGGTGGCTACTCTCGATGCCCTAGACCGCGCGGTGAACACGGCGCTGCTGCCCGCGCGTCGCGTAGTTAAAGGTGTCCATTGCTGTATGCATACTTCTCCGGCCAGTGTTTCTTATCAGAGGTGGTACTTTCGCACGTGAAGACATGATGTGTCCAGTCGCACACGACGTTTCTTCCTCCAAATGCGCCATGCATACATGCAAGAATTCGCGACTCTTCAACCGACCAGTGGCGTCATTTCAGATACACAACACCAGCAGCGTGTAGCACACGTGCTTAAACAACGAGCTTGGTATGTCGCACCTCTGGTCGTCATGTAGTAGAGTGCCACGTGGGTGACAGCTGCTGGCGTGTTTTTTGTCTCATGAACTGACGGGAAACTGTCCGGTGTGTGTCCAGTCAGTTACTGCGGTGGCGGTACAACGCGGTGGCTCCGCAGTTAGGATGTACAGCAGTAGATGCGACAGCAGGGTGGTGATTTCCTATGTACGTTTGTTTTCGACGGCTCCACTTGCCCTCTGCTCGTTGGAGTCAATGCCACGCTTTGTGGAAGGGTAAGACCACCACGACCACCAAGTGTGCATCTCCGATGATGTTATACGTTGTGCAAGGCTTCCCTTCCGGCGTTTGGTGACTTGCCTTCCGGGGGCGACCCAATAGGACATGTTCACTGTCATCGCGGCCAATCGTTACATCCCAACGCTGAGATGGATGTATTAGAGCGGGTGTTGCTTATATAACCTGCAGAATTTGCCTGGAGTTTTGCATCACGTGCGGGGTATTTTTTTCTCTCGCCGCGACTCTCCGCATGTGTGTGTGTGTCCTCTTAGGCTGTAGTGACGTCTTTGCTGAAGGTCCTGTTGCTGTAGGCTGCTGCGTTTGATCCACTCGCTCTCATTTATTTGTGTTGCCCATGGTCTGTGGGACTTGTGTGCCTTGTGCAGGAATCAAACCAAAAATCTCCCTGTTTATGCAAAGCAAGTTTTGTTGTGTTTCTTGCGGGCTTTCTTCGCACGGAACACGTCCGCGGGGTACAGAGCCAGTTTTTTCATCTGTACAGTAGGGGTCAAGCACAAGCGCCACGGGTGGCTGTCGGTTCTCCGGCGTGCGTGGTAATGTACCTTGTCTTCCCAAGTATAAACATATGTCGATTCTACAGGAGCAGTTTCAGGAACCCCCTCTTACACATGACGGCAACTCCATCTCGGTGTTTCGTTGCTGAGTGATATATTATGATGGCAGAGCACTGACTTTCACAATCACGCCCCCCACCCCCAACCTACTATCCCCGGGCTTTGCATCCGACATGACGGTTGGTCTCGTGTATTCAGTTGCTCCGTCGAAGCTGGCCTCTCCTTACCGTAAGCGTAACGCGCCATCATCCCGGCCGGATGCCTCCACCATGAGATCGAAGTCGGTGTCGGGGTCCGCGCGGGAGGCGGGGGGTGCTCGCGCGTCAACCCGGCCTGGTGCAAGGGACCACTCAATGCCTCCTTCCTCGTGGTGGGGGGCGGGGCCGGTTCTCCCGCGGCCAATCATCAAGGAGGGCATCCTCAAGAAGCGAGGGGGAAGGATGAACTCTTGGGGAGACAGGCACGTTTCACGGTTGTTGAGGTTTTCACGCCGTCACCGAGAGGAGCTTTGGGGATGTACTATTGTGGTGATGCGCCACCAACCCTGCTCCTTTGTCTGGGCGCTTGGGGACGTCGCAATCGCTTCTTGCGCGCTGATATTTATTCGTGGGTATGTTCCTTTCCCTCGACTTGTTCGAACCGTATCCTGATAACTCCAGGTACTTTATCTTGAGAGAGGACCTACTGGAGCAGTATGCCAAGGGCGAAAATCCGGTAAGCCTATGCTTCTAGCACGCATCGGATAGGCATTTCGCTAATCGGCGACCAACATGGTCGGCGAGACATGTCTTTTGGCGGGGCTGTGTCATTTTCGCCTTACGTCCTTCCTGTTTTGTGTGTTTGTGTTGAGAGCAGCGCTTGATAGTATTCTAAATGGAGGGTATTTTCTTAGATGATGATGAGGGTTTTGCAAAGCAGGTGCCTCTTTTCCACCTCAGCAGAGATGCTTGGTTTTCTTCTCTCAGCGGCTGGGCGAATGGAAATGGGAAGAGAAGCGGATAGGGGGGATTTAATAATCTTCTTTTTGTCAACACGACGCCCCTCGTGTACTTTTCCACTTCAGCTTGGCGGAGCCGCAAACCCGCAGACGGTTGACCCCCCCCATCATCGGCCACCTGTCTTGAATATCTGGCTGTCTATCTCGCACAACATCCCCCCGGCGGCGCTTCTCTCCTGGACTGCGTGATTCACCCCGCTGTACGTTGTTTTTCGTGTTCGCTATCGTCTTTGTGTTTTTGGTTTGGTTCGATCGCAGGCAAACTCCCAGCCCAAGCACTGCTACGCGTTGGATCCATCCTGCTCGGTGTCCGACATCAAGGAGGCCAAGGCCGGGGGTCGACCTCTCTACTACTTTGACCTGGCGTGGCCGTCGCTATCGGCATTCAAAGAGGAGGCGGAGGACGAAGGGGATGCCGACAGCGGGAGGTGTGCATATGCTTTGTGCACTGTGGCGTGTTTGGCCTTTCATTGTTGCTTCTCGTAAGGAACCGAGATGACAGTTGCTGAGGTACCGTTGGTCCGCCGTAAGCGTTCGAACTACGAGCGGGGTGTTGAGTGGTAGTGCATGCCCTCGTTTGGGAAAGTGGTGCGTGTGTACTGCGTTGAAACCCTCGAAAGCATGCGTGTGGATGGAGAGTGTGTTGGCGTCGAAGTGCGGCGTCTTCCGGAATGACGTAATTGCGTTCGTGCACCCAGCGGGTGGTGACGCACTACCTGTCCCGTGCGCACTGCGCTGACTTTCACACCCCTTAAAACAGGTGGTGCCGAGGGGAACACTACTGTAGTGGTGTTGTAGCGGAGCCACTGAGTTCACGCACAGACACACAGGCACCGGTTGCATCCCGTGCGCACCAAGCGTCTGCTTCGCTGCGACTCCTTGGGTGCCACTGGCTCCAACAAGCTCAAACCGCACGCCCCTGTCAACCGGCCAACGAAATATACATTTCTCGCTCCCAAAACCCCCTTCGGTGGCTTTGCTGGACGGCGGTGCTTGGCCGCAATCTGTTTGCGTATCGCAGCAGGTCTGACGCCGAGGGGGACGGCCGCGACTCCGAGGCGGCGGCTATCAACGCCACCTGCTCCCCGGGCAGCAACATCGCCACGCCGTTGGACTCACCCACGGACGCGGGGAACAAGGGGCGGGGGTACGGGTCGGAGGATGGGCTGCTGCCCGTGCCGGTAGTGCCGCCTTCGATGGAGCGAGTCGACAGCAGCAGCTCGCTGACGGGGTAGGTGCCACGCGGGTGCTTGGGAGGTGTGCGAGAGTCGCTTGTGGAGCTGATTGGTTGACGATTTTTTGTTCAGAATCAATGGAATCACCTAGCGATCTCTTTTTTCTTCTTCTAAGATGACAATCGCTGTGGGCAAAGTGAGTTTTTTTCTCGTGACGGCCCTTGACAAGCCTGATCACTGTTGTTCTCCGTCATTTGCTTGCGAAAGCGACCTTTCAAAAGTAAAATTTTGTTTCTGCTCCTGTTGTTGACTCAGGTTGTGATTTTCGTGGGTTGTGCTTTAGTCATGGTCTCCTCAAGCATGGTAGATACGAACCCATGCTACGAACGGGCCAGAGGGGGTGGCCTGTGCGGTAACCCGGGGTTGGCAGCGAATCGTGGCGAGGAGGCAGGACTAGGCCCAGTAATCGCTGCCACGGGAGAAGAAGGTTGCAATGCCGGCATCCATCCATTCCCCAATGAGGGTATTCGGAAGGGTTCCGGCTGTCGCTGCCGGCGTGTTGTTGCTTCCCCTGTAAGCCTTTTGCTTGTTTCTCTCTCTCTCTCTCTCTCTCNTCTCTATCTCTATCTCTATCTCTATCTCCATCTCTCTCTCTATCTCTATCTCTCTCTCTCTCTCTCTCTCTCTCTCTCTCTCTCTCTCCCTCTCCCTCTCCCTCTCTCTCTCTCGCTCTCTCTCTCTACCCATCGAAACTTGGCGTGTTGTTGGTTCGTGGGCTATTTGCGTTGGCAATGCAGGCAGCCAGAAGTGAGGTTCCGAGGGCCCAGGAGCACCACTACCAACGGCCCGGGGGGGTCGGTGACCGTGTCGCCGAAGCCGTTCCCGCACAAGCGAAGCGCGGGCGGGGGGGGAGAGGAAGGAGACGATACGGTAAGAAAAATGCTGGGTTGCAACTTCACCTCGAGCGCTTGAGCCAGTTGTTGATTGCTCGTATGCGTACCGACACTCTTTGTACCATGAAAAATGGTTGAGTGAACGGTACCCTGTGTGGTTGAGCATGCAAGCGGAAGGTCTTACCATCAGACCAGTTTGCCGACTTTTTTAATGACTTGATTTGGGCTTCAGAAGGTTGGTTTCTGTATCATCGGGTGGTTAGACTTGGTGAGATGGGGCGATGCAGGTTGACTGCCAGCGCTCTAAAAGCAGAGTCGCAGTGCCAGTACCGTATCGTCGAGCATACAGACTGGAGGCCGCACATTCCGTTTCTTGTTCCGGCACATGTGTGGTGCGTCACTCGCGCGTTGGATGAAGGCCTGCATGTCTCCGATAGGGAGCAGCCCCCTCAAACAGAACGCGCCCGCGGCTAGCGTTTCGTGATTGTTTACTCTAGGCTGCCGCTGTCTACGAAGTACATGTTTGTTTTACCGCCGGATCTGCGTGCTTGAAAATGGTGTCATCGGCAGACACGCAACGAGACTATCCAGGGCATGGTGGCGGCGCAACGCGAGAATGAGACGAGGATGGCGAGGTTAAAGCTGGAGGAGCTTGGGCAGGTAAGGCTTCCTAGGAAAGAGCGACAAGGTTGATTATCTGACTTGGGAGGCGCCGTTGGGAGGCGCCGTTGGGAGGCGCCGTTCGTCGTCTACCGGAAGTTTTACTCGCTCGATGTGCGACCTGCCTGTCTCAGCACGTGCTCGCAAGTTGCCGTGGACGCTCTTGAGACAGGGAGGGGGGGAAGGGGGATAGAGAGAACACAAGTGTTCACCGTACCCCGAGATGGGGGGTTGTTGTGTTTGAGAAATGGGTTACACGGATGTACTTGCTTGCCAGATGAATAGATGACGGAACGGATATGAGCCGCCTCGAAACGCGGAACGGGGTCTTGGCCGACTAGGTGTTCGACTCGACTCGGCTCGACTTGTTTTCCCTCGGTGTGGTGGTCCAAGCCCTGCCCGTCTGTCTGTGCATTCCGTCTGCGCATGAGACTCTTGGTGTGCTTTGTTGCTCACCTTTCGGCTCGGCGAGCTACTCTTGAAGCAATCGCTTTTGGCGGTCCAATTCAGGTGCGTCGCCGTGCTCTTTTTTCCGCCGGCGATCATGTTCCTACACACGCCAAGCGCATGTACTCTTCCTTTGCACGACGACACACGTTTTTGCTGCTGCGGCCGCCCTCGCGCAAACGAACTTCGGGCCCAGCTGTCGGAGTACGAGCGAGAGAAGGAGCGGAACAGGAAGAAGAAGAAGAAGGACGGGAAGGGCGTTCTCAACACCAAGGGTCAGGCTGTGGCGGCTACGGCGGTTGGGGTGTCATGGCTGACGGCGGGTATCTTGACCGGCGGGCTTGTCATCGCCGGGACGATGGTTGCGGCCGGTGTTACCGTGGGGTCCGTTGGGGGTGAGAATCAAACCTTCGGGGCTTGCCACTGTTGCGGGATATCCCGCTTCTCAGTTGTCTCTCACTTGTTTGGACTTACCCATCTGTTACGAGGAGGCGGGGATGGTAACAGCTGTGCTGCCTGGGCGATGAGGTGGGCGCAACTGTAGTTGTTTGGCGTTTTCGTTCGGCCCTGTGTTGCGTGCTGAGCCACACCTGTGCGTGGTGTGGTGTGATTTGTTCAGTATTTCGTCGCGCGGTAGAAGCGTTCCATCTGACCGTCATGCAGCCGTCGATGCAGGACACATGCCGTTCAAGTTCAGTTTCAACAACACCCCTCTAACCTACCTCGGAAAATCACAAACCTCATTTGTCGCCTTGCCCCGCTCTCTCTCTGTCTCTCTCTGTCTCTCTCTCTCTCTCTCTCTGTCTCTCTCTGTCTCTCTCTCTCTCTCTCTCTCTCTCTCTCTGTCTCTCTCTGTCTCTCTCTCTCTCTCTCTCT